GCCTACAGTATTTTTACAGTCTTTATTTTACAGTTAAAATATATATTTATCAAATAAAGTCTAATGTTACAACTAATTGTGGATCCCTTTAAACTCCACTGAGCTCTGGGTCAGGCCGCCTCCTATCAGCAACAAAATGTCTACATTTATCATCAGAGATAAAGAGTTGTTACCTTTTTGTCCTCTGGGTCGTCCGTGCTGTGAGTTAATATGGTCAGACTCTGTGAAGTTGATAACGGACCGGACGGGATGTTGTAGATCATATCCATGATTTCATAGGCAGGGTCGGTGACTGGTCTGGACCCATTTGGGATCTGGTAAATACCATGAGCCCTGATGTGGCTGTTGGCCTGGACTGCTGTGCGTTTCTCCACACAGTGGTTTGAGGAGCCTGCAGAAGCTCTGCTCGCTGGTAAAAGTTTCAGTCTGTTGGCAGGGGCCAGGCCTTGGCGTCCATGCAGGGAGCACATCCACCAACCACTGGTGCCGGCCACGTTTTCATCCATCACCGTGATGATGTCGCCCTTTTTGAAAGCGAGCTCATCCGCGCACTCTGCCGTGTTGTCATACAGAGCTGTGGCAAGTTTCTCCTAAAACAAGAAACAGAGGAACAGAATTAAGGATGTGAAGACCAAACACACTTAGGAGAATGACAGGAAGGAGCAATGGTTCATGTTCAAACCTCCAGTTTTTCTGTGTGGACTTAGCCTGTGGTGACATGTGATGTGATGATATTATAACTACAAGCACTAACAAACCTCTACCAAGAGCTGAGGTTAAGGAATAGAATAAATGCTGGATCCAGATCAACTGTTCTTTGTGACGACCTCAACGTGTCCTGAAAACTTCAGAAAACTTTGTTCATAACGTCTTGAGTAATCTTATGTAAAAACAAACAAACCAACCAAAAGCAAAGCTTCCTGGGTGGAGGTAACTAAAACGTTTCCTGCAGAAACTTTGTAGTTGTCGGCCACTTGGTGCCTGATTTTCCCCTTTCTTGTATCAACATGACTCAGTATGTCTAAAAATGTCTGAGTTGTAGACAATATTCCAGATTAGTTTTGGTGGATTACCATTGGTAAGTGTTGGGAACTGGTCTTAGCTACTACCATACCAGACTTTAGCTCAATATACAGTATCTAAAATGACTGAGGTACCCTTTACGTGATTTAAAAATAGATTTTCCTCAATCTGTTGGGGGGCATAATCTAGCAGCTAGTAAGAGGTCCGGTTTGGTGGGCTCGGGATTCTGGTTCTGCTGTTTGCAGATGATGTGGTCCTGTTGGTGTCATCACGCTGTGATCTCCAGCTCCCACTGGAGCGGCTCACAGCAGAGTGAAGCAGCTGAGATGAAGATCAGGACTTCTTTAATAAATCTAGCTGAATAATCTGCCTACCTTGAAGAAAACGTTACATTGTCCTTACACTTAGTCAGTTTGAAACAACAGCCCTGCTCTTTGAAACATTTTGTTGTTTTTAATTAAAGATTTGTCAAATTAGCTAACTAATATCCCACAGCGATGAAGTTTTGTTTACCATTTACCATATTAAAACACGTATTTTCTTACAATTAGTTACAAAAAATAAAAAGGCAGACAAAGAACTGTTGGGTTTTCACTCATATTACTGAAAATGGGTTTTTAATGTAATGTGCTGCAGAGTGCCAGGTGTGCTTTAAAACCACATCCTTATCTTGTTACAGCTCTGTGTTTGTCTTTAATGTGTCAGTTTGTGTGTGTGTGTGTGTGTGTGTGTGTGTGTGTGTGTGTGT